AGGCAAAATATACACCATTTAGATTAGAAGATGGGTAGCTAAGAAAAATCAGAAAATTAAAGTTTCCTAAAAATACTGTAAACCAGAGACTAAGGCAAATTAGCTCTACAATAGTAATATACTAGAACACTTTTTGGTTTCGGTACTTACACAGTGTTAGCACTTCTTGCAAAAATCACCCTGCTGGACTGCCTTGAGGAAGAGGTCAGATACCATGAACCACAAAAATGGGTCAGAATAATCAATTCTGACTTCTCAGAAATTCTATTTAAGCTACAGTGCCAGTCAGCAGATATGTGTCTGTTTCCATGTCCCCCTCATTTACTTCATAAAAGCAGATTAACCCCCCAAATTTGACTTCCTACAATGAAGACTATGCATGAGGGAGGCAGCTGACAAGCACCATGACAAGGAAGAAGAGGAAGTATAAATGTAGTGAGATTCAACATAAGCAGCAAATCCAGAAAGAACTGAAACAGTAAACAAAGTAGAATTCAATTTTCAATCTACTATTTTATTACACTGGAAGTAGTCGGTGTTACAAACACATTCTTCCACATCTGGGCACCTGAAGCACCAACGAAGTTGCTTAACCTGCACCCACACAGAAGTGCCAGAAAAAACATTCACTCAGTGAGCTCCTATTTAACAATCCCTAATGCCTTACTATTAATGCTACACTTGCAAAAGGGAGGAGAAAATCTATCCTGGACATGAGGATATATGTTCAAGCAGAGGATGAATATGCCCTGAAAACATAAGCACAGAGGAGCAAAAGGAAGGAGGCAAAAAAATGATAAAAAAAGCTGATGAAGCAAAGCAAAAAAAATATCCAGTGACCCTGCAAGCTTGTGAAGCCTCCGAAACATCATGCTCTTTGCTTTGATCCCACATTCTGACAATAAATCAAAAAAGCCCAAGAACCCATTTGCAGATTTAGCGAGTGTTTCACGGCCTATGGAAAAGTCAAATCAACTTGTGGTGTTCTGCTTCTCATATAATGATAAAAGCACAGCTACCCTACACGGCTCCAAGCACAGCACAAAATGGCAGTGCCTGCAGTCTACGAGCAGCTCCTTAGCCAGACAACATGAAAGCCAGAAGAACACACGTGCCAAAGATAGTTAATATGATCGTATTGCATTACAGTCACTGTAGCGATATTGGGCAAATGTTATGTTGCATGAGGCTATGTAATAATTGGGCAGTAATCAGTAAAAGCATTAAGTCCCTGTTTTACTACTGCTTCATCACTAGCTATAAAACAACATCCTAATAAAGTGCATAAAACTAAAAAGAACTGAGATTAACAAGGCGTGTTATGGCAGTTTAGAAGTAAAAGTCATTTTAGCAATATAAAATTGAACAATACTATTTAAAAGAATGAGCAGAGATGATTGACTGTTCCTTATTAAAAAAAAGCAGCTATTCCAAGAGCCTGGCCTAGTTATTGTAGTGTCTATGTCAAACTGGTAAGGAAAGCACAGGGCCTCAATGGTCGCCAGAAAAGCACTATATACTGGATAGCTGACTATAGCACCATCACTCCTTAATTAGGTAACCTTGCATGGACAATGCTAACCACTGAGAGGAAGAAAGAGAGAGAGAGAGATTAGAAAAAGCTTTGGCCAATATTCAGACATGATTTTTGACTGTACAAGTAGGTATATTTATGGCAGAGACCAAGAATGATCAAGACAAGCCATCAGAGAATGAAAGTGGCTCCTTCCAAGTTGTTTTTATCCAGCTCTGAATACATCACCTCATTTTTAGTAGGGTTCTGGTATCATGTGCAGTTAATGTATAATTATTACAGAACTGTGATTGCATCGTTAGCAGAAGCTTAATTATATCATTGACATTAGTGATGCCATAACATCAAGCTCAATAATAGTTCATAACAAAACTTACAATTAGCACAATTTTTCCTCCCTTTTACACCAACCAAAAGAGTTCAGTTTGGAGAAGCCTAATAGTCCATACAGAAGCGAGCTAGGGCTGAACCTGAAAGGATTGCTGGCTGGTAATTTAGTAATATGGTAATTAAAGTCTTTTCATGATGTAATTACACACCAACTACAAAAGGACAGCTGCTATACAACACTGCCAGGGTACGTGGCATGAAATGATTAGATTTGAGAAGCTTTGGTGGTTAAACTGAATACCACAGACATAAGTCTGAGGTATAGCTGGTACCGCATAGCGCATTATTATTCAAGTCTCGCACTTGGCGTTTCCTCAGTCTCATTGTGATAGTAACAGTTTGTTGCACATACCTTGGTCCTGTGACAGCAGAAGCTGTTCAGAACCCACCTTTAAAAGCTTCTGCTGTTTTGAAGTTGCCTGGAATTAAAAGACCTAATGTTCTTCTGGGCAGAGGCAGTACAAATGAGGTTTGCGTGGACCCAGAAATGTTCATTTCCCACCCCCGCAGCACGAAACCTCCTCTCACAGACTCCTGTCTTTGGGAAATGTAACTTGATTTATTTGTAGGCTTTTTCCAGCAGGGGAGCAGAGAGGGGAAAAGGACAGAGAAGAGGCACAAATGAGTAAGTGAACTCAAAGAAACTAAAGCTCAACTGAAGAACTAAGGGTTTCGGCATTTAGTTCCAACAGCAACAAGCAGAAGTCCCCTATTTGCGTGAAAAAATAAACCCACCCTTCTTCTCAAGAGCAGACAAACATTTTTTAAAAGTAGTTTCCTTACTGTATTTCTCACTACCCTCATTTGTATCTGTAGAAACCACAAAGTTGACCACACAAGGCATGAGACTGCAAAAAGGAACATATTTTTCCAACTTCTTGGCTACATGACTGGGCTCTTAAAAATATAGGAATGCACTGCGCACCCTGGCAGTAGGCGAACAACCTCAGAGCTGCTTTTGTAGTCTTAAAATGTCCTTTTAGTGATGAGGAGCAACTTAAGATGTTTTGCAATAGCTGGTTTTTTTCCCTGCAACACAGGAAGTGGGGATTTGGTGAGAGAGAGGCCCAGATCAACTGATCTTCTACACTTTAAAGCTTTTATTTTCTTGAGTTAGACAAATCTAGAAGTGGGCTTATTTGAAAGTGAATGATTTTGGGTATCCAGAGAACACTCCTCAGCATGAGGAAGGTTTCCGCAAGGTCCATTTGGAAACTGCAAAACCAAACTATTTTGGATCTGGAAGGACTCTGTTACCTACAAGATGTGGGGAATGACCAGAAAAAATTGAGTCCTGGTTCAAACAAGACCCAGCCTTGCCGATGGCTTCCCTTCCAATTCCCACTCTTCCTCTTTTTCTGAAGAGATGTTTTGGATGGGCTTAATGAACATTCAAAGCCTCTTCAAGACTTAGTGTCTTTAACTACACTGGATGCTGGCAGCAATTCAAGAACACTGTCAACAAGAGTTTCTTCCTGTTGGGTATCAGAGGCTACAACAGAGCTGAGGCTGCTCTTGGGGAGCAGAGAAGGAATCCCGGGGGAATTGGAAGCAGCCAGTCCCAGTCATTTAAGAACAAAGATCTCAACTACTCAGAAGTAGGTCCTGCCTGGCCAGTTTTACACAGTACACTTTTAAGAGACAATAAAGCAATTTAGCCAACTCGATAGAAGAGACTCAACTGTCCTTCAAGTGCAATAGCACAAGAAAACATGATTATTTCTAATTTAATGGCAAGAGGGGTAGAATGTAGTGCAGGCAGTGGTTCTGATGACTGGATAGGTTGTCGGCTCAAACATGTTTGCAGCTACCCTTTGTGAGGACTCACTCAACATCTGATGCGAAAAGGAGATTCAAGTATGTCATTTGTTCAGAGGAACTGGGTGAGCAATTTGCAATATATACAGCAAATTCAGCACTTTAAGAACAATCATCAACATGAAAAGAATAGGAACTTTATGCACAAAGGATTTATCTGACTTCCTACACAGTTTAAAGCAGCAAGAGGCAATAAAAATGTTAAGTTTAAACTACAAAAACCTTTGCTCTTGAGTGCTGACTCTGTAAATACATGGGTGTACACACTACAAATACAACTGTGTGTGCATAAACCTTAAACAAAGTCCGTAACTGCAGCAGTCTTCACCTAAAGCCAATGTGGTTCAGTACCTTTGCAGATTTTAATTACTTAGCTGTTAGCTAACAGAACACAACAGCAGTCTGTATCATGTGGGGAACTATTCTCCCTGGCCTGTTTATGCAGAGCGCTGCCAAAAGAAACATGTGAAGGTCTGAAGCCTTGCAAGAATAGCCTCATTATCTTTCTCTGATGGTGGTACGGGCAGAGGGTGAGAGAGGGGGAAAGAATGCGAGTGAGAGATTTCCAGTATGCTCCTAGCTTTAGCTAAATCAGAAGACAAAGAAATAGCTTCTTATCACGAGTCTTTGGGCATCCAACTTCAAAATATAACGAAAAAACACTCCTGAACAACAGCATTTCAGTTCTGAGAAATGGACAAGTACATGAGCCAGAAGAGGACAAAGTAAAAACCCTAATCTGCAACAGTCTGTCTGCCTCCCCTCCTCCCCCGTTGCAAGAGTAGCAGTTATCTGCTTACAGATGACTACCTTCAATTACATCAAAATCTGAGAGCCAGGTGGCCTATCAAGACTAAGGCTGGAGACAGGAGCCACAGGACTTCCTACTGAACCAGTCCAGCCCTACCAGCTGTTCCAGATACAGTCACCTTGTCAGTGTTCAACACACAGTTCTTTGATGCACCCAACATCTCTTCTGTTGCTCTTCAGCATCTTTCCACTTCCCTGCAACCATCAAGTCATTCAGAAACTGCTACAGAGCCAGAAGCATTGTCAACCTCCTTAACTGCAACCACTACTCGACAAGGTACTAGAAGCCTATCACGGTCATTTGCTTTCATTTCCATGAGAACCGTTAAGTGTTCAGCCAAGAAACAGAATTCTCTTGTGATACTGTTTGCAACTAAGGAACTTGGTAACACCAGATTTGGGGAGCCTGGGGTGAAGGAACAGTTGGGGAGACACCACACTTACTCACCTGCTATCACCAGCGTTGGCCACGTAAAGCTTCCCCAATAAATACACCACGACAAGGGCTGTGCAGCCACCAGAAATATTATACACGGTCCTCTCTCGTTCTATTTGCAAATCCTATGGGAAAAAAGAGAACAAGATTTATCAAGACAGCATTGCAATTAATATTTTAAAAATGAAGATTCCCCTAACAACAACAACAACAAAAAAGAGTCTTTCTTAAACTGCTTGTCCCAGTGGCTTTCTTTACTGTTGCAGCTATGGCCACATGGTCAGGGAGAAGACCAGAAAGTCCAGGAGTATCTATTACTTATGATACGAAGATGTCTGGGAAAAATCAGGTCAGGAGATTGTAAAACATTAGGCACCAAGGAACAAACGGCAACTCTGAGGGATGCAAGGGAATTTGCTATGGAAAAAGCACAATGAAGGAAAAGATAAATGTAGCTTAACAACAGGTACCTGGTGGTATAATTGGAGAATGCTTTACATAGACAGGGAAAAATTAATGAGACCTAGCTATGACATGAATAACTACCTGCTCTCCAAAAGGGATGCTAGGATTGCGGAGCATATACCTTTACGAACAGCAGCAAGACACACTCATGCCACAAGGCCACCCTTCAGAAGGCTACCGCACATGGAATGAGTGGATGCTAAACTTGTTCGGGGAGAAGGTCAGTAGAACAGTATTTACTGAAAAATACTACACATTCACAGACTTGCCAGGATGAATCACAGTATTTAACCCTGTGTCTCATCTCACTGCTTTTATGAGGTCCCAAAAAGCCTTAATTTTTATGCCTATCCACAGACCCAAATTTAAGGGGGTACGTACCTACTCAAGTAGTTCTTCCTGTGTTTAGTTTCCAACCAACTCTGAGTGTAAGAAATATTATATAAAAAAAAAAGTCCTCCTGCTTAATCGAAGCGGAGAACACAAGTCACATCTGTCATCAACAATCAATCAAGTCCAAGAATGAAAAAAATACATAAATATGTACATACATACATATATAGAGAGTGTCCCAGGAAAGCTTGAAGAACATAAAGGACACAAGTAAATGAGCTACTTTCCAGTACTCCACGCATTTTAAACAAAAACTGAAGTGCATACCAATGAATTCATTCTGCTGCATCTTAGTTAAGTTTGGGGTAATAACACAACACGTTACAAATTACCCTCCTCTCCCATGTCCAGAATGAAATTCAATTTCAAGCTGGTCTTTCCTTGTAATACTGGACTCAAAGAGGAGCATCATTTAACATTGTTACTGCAAGTACTGGCAGATCTTTTCCAGCTAAACCCTGCCTACTCGTATGTGGTTTTTATTATGAATATATGTGTTTGCCTCTGTGTGTGTGCATACACACACAGAGCTATACTTCAGCCATTTCCATATTTGCACTGAGCAACAAACAGTTCAAATTGTCCATGCCTTGGGGTACAGGATTTAGAGCTTTATTTTAGAGCTAAATTTATCTGAGGAAAAGCACCACAACAAATGCAAACCATGACAGCTGCAATTTGACTGAAAAATCTGCAGAGCTGGAGGAGGCCAAGGACCACACTTCGTTTCCTACAAATTTCAGGGGAGGGAGGTGACCTGAGGCAGCAGCGGGGATGCTCAGCGGCACCCGGCCGCTGTCCCGAGCAGGCTGGGCAGAGGTGTCGGTCACAAATAATCTGACTCCTCGCTGGCCAGTGTCCATAGGGACTGACCCCATTTGTGCCATGAATACAAGTACTGAGGTGGGTGGTGTGGCAGGGGCAGCAAGAAGCGTGCAGCGCTGGCTGACAAGGCCATCCTCTGCTGCACACTGGAACTGCACAGAACCGCACGCTGCTGCCGGACAGAGCCGGGGGGTTTACTGCTGGCTCTCACTGGCACTGACCTGGGGTTTTCCTTTTTCTTACTTTTTTTGGGGGGGCGGGGGTGTGGGGTGTGTGACTGTGTGTGTGTGAGAGGACCAGGAGGTAAACACCTCCAAGCTAACAAAATCGAATCTCACAGAACCTTTGGTCACAGACATGGGCCTGTTACAAATGCCTCTTTATCTAATCTTGCCATAGAGAACTTGATTTTCTTCCCCATGGTTACTATATTTTTTAATTAAGCTGAAAAGAACAGTTCAAAGGAAGCAGATGTTTCTAACCATCAAAATAACTTAGATTTACAAATACTACAGCGGAATTTCCAGGCACTGCCAGGAATTTTAAAAAACCTTCATCTCTGCAGTTCAGTGTATCCTCCGAGACCTTCAAACAATATACAACTCCTCACCTGGTTTCAGCTCTGTCATATGTATACTTTGCAAGTGCTGGAATGCCTAAATTACTATTTATTTCTTTCAGTAAGCAGAATTCAAAAGTACGTACTACAGGAGAGAAGACAGATAATCCTTAGGCACTCATTTTCAGAGTTTCCTTGACTTAAACTAGATCTGTGTACTGGAATTTTTCAAATCCTTGCTGCTCATGGGCTCTTCCATCCAGTTGTTGTTCAGAACTTGAATTTACTACCATGACTTGCCAGAGAATACTCAGTGTCGTGTTTAATTTGGTATTACATACTCTGTTTGACAGTTCCTTTTTTGGGGGGAGGAAGGAGGGGAAGGCTTTCTGGCAGCTCAACAAGATTTGAGGGGAAAAAATAAACCAAAATAAAATAAAGCCCACCAATGCCACTAACTCATTCTGATGTAGAGACATTGGGTTTTAACGAAATACTTTATAACAGCGCTGCTGGGAAAGTAGTGCAGCACAAACAGGGGCAGAAACCCCAAAATGCCTCTGAAGTCTTTATGAGTGTAAAGGGGCTCATTCTAGACCAAGTCGGAACATACACAAAGCCTTCCTCGTTTTCTACCTGGAGAAAGATTTCAGAGCAAGCTTTTCCCTGCCCGCCCCCCCTTTCCTTTTTTTCCTCCTCTTTTCTGTAGCATGCAGCTCATCCCCACACAGCAACCTGCACGCAAGGGAAGCGCTGAGCAATGCTGGGCGGAATCAAACAATGCACCTTTCAGCCCAAAGGGCAGCGTGTGCCGCTCACGCAGACCCTGATAGAAAAAAAAATAAAGGAAAAAACCAGAGATCTCTATATCCTCTGTTCAAAAGGCTACCGTTTCATGCCAAGGAAGCAGCTAATTTAGTCTGTGCTCTGCCTGCCTTTTCGGGAGGTGTGTTGTAGCGGCAGGGAGGAGCAGGGTGCCCACAGGGGTTGCCTCAGGCCTGGTCCCCCTGGTCCCCTTTCCCTGGGTGAGGGAGCGTGGGGAGGACGGAGCAAAGCCTGCAGAGGACACCACGAAGTGCCACGGGGTAACGTTTGCAGAGCAGGTGACGGAGAGCAGGGGTTGCTTTCTTCACTGATTACAGAAGCCGTCTGAGGACGTGGCGTCAGCCCGGGGACAGACCATCCCCGCCATCCTGACCGCTTGGGTCTCCTCAGCGCTTGCCTCGCTAAGGCTCAGACCTGGGCTTCCCAGAGCAATAGCACTGGTTAATCACGCTAATTAACAATCTCTTCTGAAAAAGGAGGAAGATTACACCACGAAGCCGTTACCATCCGCTCTGTCGGAGGCTCCCGGACCCTCGACGGCGGCTTGCTCGTGCCATCTCGTGGAGGCCCTGTGGAGGGGCCCGGGTGCTGTGGGGCCCCAGATTTTCCTTCCACCTCTCTGGACCCACGCGTGTTGGGGACACAAAGCCCCACGAGCACAGCGAGCGGGGTCCTGCGCGCAGGTCGACACAGGCGCTGCAGAGGTGAGGGGAGACGGCATGAAAGCTGCCACGTGGGACGGCACAGAAAGTGAATGCCAGCTACAGCCCATGCTAAGCTCTGGAATTTCAGGACACTGAAAACAGAACTAGCTCCATTCAAATTGCAGTATCATTATTACAACAAGTTAGCATACTGCAACAACTAAAATAACCATTTCATTTACATCCATCCTCAGAGGGGTCTTTCCGCCAGGATCTTGATCTTGCTATGACAGAAAGCAGTTTTACTCCCTACACACAGTATCAGGTATTTGCTAAAGAAAAAAAAGAGTAATATTTCAGAAGGCATAAAGACAAAATTAACTTCTTAATCTGCTTTACCTCTGTCAAAAAGGCATCATAATACCTGTAACACTGTTTTAACCCTCCTCATTTCTACTGGCTATTTAATCACAGGAAGCTTTTCAAAAGGAAAACACTATAACATACGCTGCTCCCTCAAGATTGTTCAAATTAAAATGGCACCGATCTTGCAAAAGCACCTGTCTAGATTTCATCTGAGTAAAAAAAAGTCCCAATAAAGAAGAAAATCATGATACAATGTATACAAACTTATACCTTCCAATAAATCATACAGACTAGTTTTGTTCCATTTCTTCCCATCCAAAATTGAACAGGGTTCAGTGTGCAATAGGTGCTCTCTCCCCTTAACCTTTCTTTAAATTACATACTACATCACACACACATATACAAGGTTAAATGCAGGAAAGGCATTATAGTTTGATGCTTCTGTCCAGTACAGAACAGCACTTGGAAACATCCCTCCTGGCTCCCTAGAACTGAATCTATAAATGCACATCTTAAAACTCAAGAGATGAAAATTAGAGGATTTGACTTACGATACCTTCAGAACTTGAACTTATTTATTTCCTTTTAACTGGAATAATTAATGTGATTGCTGACAGTTACTGACACTGAGCATTTTTTATTTTTTAAACAGGAGAGTAAATTATCTGAGCACACAACACAAACTTGCTAATCCCAGCTCCAACACAATCAGAGAACACCATCTAGAAATACTTCAAAAAGGGGATAGTTTAATTGTTAAATTTCTAAGTTAGGCAATGAATTGGTCTATGTTAGCTTTCCATAGTGTTTTAGTGCATGTAGCTGTCAGACAAGTACTGTCCAAAGGAAACCACACCCAAAAAAGGAAAAATAATTTTAAAAAGCCTTCTGAAAGGGATGAATGGCATTTTATTTGAGACTTGAGGCAAAAACATGGAGAGCTTAACTAGAATTCAAAAGGCAGCTGTGGAAAAAAGTAATGGTATCCTACATATTCACAGGAAAAGGGGACAAAACGATCATTAGATAAATCAGTCGGTTGGATTGTTAAAAAAAAGAAAAAAGGTATCTGTATGTACTCAGCATTTTCACCAGGTTCAAAAGGGCTCCTTTGCAGCGATGGGTGTTTCAGGAAACACCACCGAGAAGTCTGCCTACGTGTCCAGGAAACATGAGCTTCCACCAAGTGCCAGGTAAAGTGATACACTCTGCTGGCACAAAATCCACATACATTATGCACATCTCAACTGCATTGACCTAACTCAACAACACCCATGATGTTCCAGTACAAAATAGGGCTGAATAAACAATGTGCTCTGGAAGGGGCCCAAAAGCTTCACCCAGAGACTACTAGGAGTATAAGCTAGCAGGAAGTGAGACAGAGGTAGGAGGAACATCAATCATTGTAAGCATAGATGAGACTCAGGAGTAAAAAAAAATCCCTTACACGGACAAAAGAAAATACTCTTTTGCCTAAACCAATTATAATCACAAGACTCCCTCAAGAGCTTAAACTAGATAGAATTATCTATTGCTTTTCTTAATCTGATTGTTTTTATAAGACTTCCTTTTAATGTAAAACTTAACGCTGAAATTATATTGCATTGTGGTAGACGCAGAGACATTTATACAGCAAAGACAGAATGAACTTCAGGCCTCTGATAAAGAGCAAAAGTGGGAATTAAAGGTATCTGATCTGTAGCATATGAACAAAGATACAGGGAGGAAAATAAAATATTCTCTGGACTTGAGTTTAGAAAAAGGGAGGACAAATTACTACGACGTGTACATGGAATACCCAGACACTGTAACTGTAGCAAGTTATCCAGGGTTTCCGCATTTCTCATACTCTATCCATTAAAGCCCTCCCAAGCAGTCAGGTGCCTGTACATGAGCTCAGCTGGTCTTCTGTGTGAACACCTACTAAACAGAGGTGTGAACTCAAAATAAAGCAGGGCAGTAACAGCCCTGCTAACTTAGCTCTCTTACTTTCACTTTCCAGTCCCGACAAACTCCATTTCTCATCTCTCCTGCACTTGGAGCCAGTTTTAACAAGAGAGAGAGAAGAGTAACATCATGCACTCAGAGCCTGGCACTCTTCTGGCCTGAAAATCCCCCCCCAATGGAAGCATGAAATTGGTGCCCCTCTCTTAAGCATGCTCCAAACCCACTAGGGTGTAGATGGGCAGGGTCATGTTTTCCCCTCTTTCTCGACAAAGAAGGGAGCAAGCTAGTTCTCCCTTTCTGAAAAGGGCATGCTAAAAACCAATCGGAGATTTTCGTGCGTCCTCCTCTTTGTTCTCAGCTAGCAGAAACCAAGCCCACTAGCCGCAGTGCATGCTCGTGTGCCCCATGCTGAACGATGCCTAAGTCACAGTTGTCAATCCTGCTCTTGGACCTAAAAGTCCAAACCCACTTGGTGGCTCCATTTGCCTGCACTTCCTTGGGGAGAAAGGACAATCCAGCAAGATGATTGCTATTCAGAATTCAAAGTGAAGCATCACTTTGTTATAACAACAACTGTAGTCTCTAATTAGATTCATGTACTAAACAAAATTCACATCTATTCAGAAAAATAATGATCAAATACTTCTTTTCAGACAACACATAAAACCCCTGGGAAACACTCATTAGTTCAAAAACCTTCTACTCAAATAAGAGGTTTTTCTAAAAACAACCAAAGAAAAAAAAAAAAAAAAGAAAAAAAGAACAAGATCAGATCTCCCAAGACCTGACCCGCATGTACTCACTGGCAGGCCAAGTCTCTGCTTTGCCTGACAAGAATTATTTTTAATAACGTGGAGAAGTGAAAGGGGAAGGTACAGAACAGCTACATCAATTACAGTAGAGAAAAACCAGTAAACCAGTCTTCCATCTGGAAATTGATGAATATTCTGTTTCCACAGGGTCATGATTTCCTCCCTGTTGTTCAGGTCGTACAGAAGTCAAGTGGGTGGCAGGAGCACACTTCATGGCCCCCTCAACCCACACCCAACCTGCCTCAGTCAAGAGCTGCACACACTCGCTCTACAGCTACTGCTGTGCTCTATGAGCCACTCCAACGCTAACGTGAACTACAGGCCATTGGATCAAGGATGCCATTCCTCATCCATGTCCCTGATGTGACCTTTTGTGACCCGTTTATGTAGTTGTGGGCAACACAAACAACAGTCTGTGGTGCAAGGAGTGTTGAGAGCCTTTTCTGCTGCTCCAGTAGGGCAATGATGCTTTGTAAAGTGCATGGCCACATACACAGCCTTATGATAACAGCCAACACTGAAATCTCCTACTGTGAGGCAATACTAATTTTTACCTTAAAAAAAAGAAGGGAGCAGGAGAGAAAAAAAGAAAAAGAGCACCAAGTTTCTAAGAGTCACGTAATCAACAAACGTGGCTGTGCTGCTGCCTAAGACCCAAGATGCATTTCCTGCCTGACAGGGATGTATCGGGTAAGCTGTTGAAGCTCTTAAATAATTCTGGCCACACGCAGATGGTGTTTAAGGAGGGAAGAAAAAAAAGGTGGAAAAAGTCCCTAAATGTTCATCTTCTCCAGGCCATACAGCTCATAAATGTAAGCAAGAAGGACTTCAGAGCCCTGAGATATACATACCATTTCCTTGAATGCACTTTCTATGGCCCCAATAACCAGGCACTCATGTGGGATCTTCTTCTCGGTGAAGAAACGTGTTGGAGGGGTGCTGGGTGAGCCCGGGGCCCCCACACCACCACGCAGGGAGGCCGCCCGTGTCAGTGTCCTGCTGTTGGTGCCCGGGTTGTCAGGCTCCTCTCCCAGGCAGGTGGGTGGGAGGACGGCTGTGTTCCTCAGGATGTCCACAATCTCTTGCAGCTGCTCCAGGATATGATGCTGCAGCAGTTTGGAAGCGACCACAGCTGCCCCCGACCCGGCGTGCCCATCAAACAGGGACCAGTAGTACAGGTTGATACCATCTGTGTCCTGGAGAAGCAGGAGGGGAAAGAAAGGGAAGGAAAAGAGATGGTCACTATTACACAGCCACAAGTGAGATGACCAGTGGCACAGAGGCAGCAGGTAAAACACAGGTAACTAACTTTCTGAAATGGAGAAATACCCATGGTGTTAGTACAGCTCTGGCAGGAAGAAAAGATGCTTGGTTTTGCCACACCCCCACTCCCCCTTTTTTTTTTTCTTGTCTTCCCTTTTTTCTTTTCCTTAACCTCCTCAAAAAAAAAGAAAAGGGTGAACATGCAATCTTTCTTACCTTACAGCCATCATAGGTTGCACTGACCAAGCACAGCTACCACTGTAAGACTAAGTTCATTTCCTAATGACTGTGTAGATCAGAAGAAAAGCATTTGAAAATCCCATCAATGATAAATGATGGACCTACCACCATGGAGACCAAAATTCTACACAAGACAGCACCTGATACTTCTGTGACAGATTTTTTTTTTTTCCACTAGGCATGAGATGAAGGACCTTAGTCTGACATCTAGTAACAAGACGTGATCCCCACTTCCATGACTGGTAGATAAGGTCCATCCGTGCTGGCAGATGGGACAGCTCAGGCTCTCCCTTGCCTGTGCCAGCCCAGGAACCAGCGCAGTGCAGAGGTCCTCGAGGATGGCAGACACAAGTGGGATTGGCTGCACTCCACTCGTGCTAGCCTACGTGTTGACTGCCTAGTTCTTCCCAGTCCTCAGAAAAGTTTCCTGTACAGTACTGGAGTTACATACTCTCTGATCAGAAGAGCTATGCACGTGTTTTGGTACAGCCCTCGGTATAATAGTACACTTTTAGATCTTGTATTTTACCTCGACTCCTAGCATACCAGTCAACACAACTGCCCTCGTACAGACAAAGTACTCAGAAAAACTAAATTTTGTAGACCTCATTATTAAAAGGTATGTGTGGCAATGTTATATATTTGGTCAGCAGTTAATCGTTCAATGATCTGATTTTCAAATATTTGTCCCTTTCTGCTCCACAGTCTCCTTTGACAGGTCTAAGTCAGCTCCACTATTGCTCCAATTTGAGCTGAAACCATGTTTTTGTGGTGGGGTGCCCTATCACTCAGATAGGGTCCATTAACCCAGGGCTGGAATCAGACTAAGTTCTGGGCAGCACAAGCTCCAATCTGCCTGAAAAATACCAAGAAGCCATACCCTAGATAACATCAACTTTTTGGAGAAATTCACTTAGAAATCCTCAGGGAAGCATTTAAGGCATAACAATACCTGTCTTTGCACGATAGCATATTTGGCAGCAGCATATGGAAAGAGTCTTTCCAGTCGCTCCTTTCCCCTCCATTTCTTCTTAATCCCGCACCCTCTCCCAGCTATGCTGAAAAAACTGTTTGTGGGGCTGCCCTGAGAGTCAGATGTGGGTACGACTAATACAGATTTAGAAAGGAATCATTTTGCAAGGGACAGGAATTAGGCAATACTGTTGCAAAACACCTCATACTAAGAAAGCATAACCTAGATCTCTCTGCAGTTAAAGAACTTAAAAATTATATCCGCATGTCAGGCTGACTGTGGTCTAATTCAGGATGACAGACGTGTTTTGTTTCATTCACCCGAACACTGCTCCCTTACGCAACAGAGCAGCATATAGTCTGGGCACCACCTGCATCCCGGCACCTCATGCCCAAAGCACTGCTTATTTCAAACTTATGGACAGGGCGATAAACTGCAGCTCCTTTTTCTTTCTGCTCTTTCAGCCGCTACACAAAAGTGCCCGCCACTGGCTGTAGAACACGGCAGACAGGCTGGAGAACACCATGAATTGTCATTTGCAGATCCAAAAAGACATCGTTCATTGTTGCCCCAAGCCACAAAATCCAAAACCTAATGCAAAATGTCTCTTTTAGCAACATGTATATAGACCATCACTAGAAGTTCACGTTGTTCAAAGGGCAGAATTCATTGCTGAACGAGCATTATTACTCGTAACTTATTTTGTTGAAATGCACATTTAAAAGCCTTGATTATAAAAATTACATAAAAGTCTAGGGTTTTTTTTAGCTTATAGCATTGCTGCTGGTGTAAAGTTCAAACATGTTCTTAACCTGTGCATTAATAATGTAGTCATCTACACAGTGGAGAGTTCCTCCAAGAGAAGGAATTCAGCAGTCTGTTGTGCACACTTCATTTCATTACTGAAATGCTGAGAAAAGGGAGTATTGTCCTACAGTACTGGATTACTTACCACAGTAAGGATCATACAGGATACATCCTATAACGGTGAAAACACCAACAAATGTACACATTTTCGAATGCAGCTCCTTAGCCAGACCCACCCACTTACCCAGTCTGGTAAATTCACAAAAAAAACCTGTTGTGAAACTTCACCCCTGAAGGCATGACTGGCAGTTGTGCTAGCTTGCTCTGGGCTCAGAACCCCTCCAAGTTCACACAACAGTTGGCTGTAAAATGCTGCTTAAGCCATTTTTAACAGATAACAGGATTACTGACGAAAAAACCTGGTTGTAAAAATAGATTGCTATTCATGGAAAAAGTAAAGTATTTTGCCAACAGAAACAAGTATCCCAAAGCGAAAGTATTTCAGCTGAAAACTGAAACCATTTATTCAAAATGGCAAGACTGTGCCTCCTGGGAGTTGTAGACCAAACTGCTCCTATTCTTCTCGCAGGGTTTGGCTCCCTGGCCAAAATCCACCTCATAATGCACCATGGATAATGCTTCCACACCTTATCTCCTTATGTCATTCAAAACGTGCTACTCTTTAGAGGATGTGCTGCCTTTGGGGTAAAAATCATCAAGGCATTACACCTGATTGAAATGGAAATATTTTACTTTCCATCTAGAGGAAGAAGGTATTTTGTCATTGCCCTACCCCTGCCCCCGAACTATAACAATAACTTCCAATTAAGTTTAACCTCCATGCACACACTAATTTTCTTAAGTTTTCCAAAGCAAGCCCCCACCAAAGTCTGTATTAGAGCTTTTCAGAAGATAAAAGACAACAGTTATGAACCCAATTCACTCTCATTATTTTGAGCAAAACACTAGATATGTCCTACACTGAACAAGCCTCATGTGAACTTGGTAGTCAAATAAGGTGCCATTAGAGACCAGGAAGCTTTAAAACAGACCAGAACAATGGCTCATGACAAAAAAAGTGAAATTGAAATGTTACCACTTATTTCCTCTAAGCCAATGGGCAGCAAAAATTAGGATAGAGAAGCTCACATGAGCCTGAGCTGTATTCCCAGGCTGTCACTGACATGAACACGACGTGGCCACGTCAACTATGGCAGTTCTTCTGGAGTTTGCTGATCTTGTCCTTTTTGGACTAGTAATCTTAATTCTTAGTCTTAGACTAGTAATTCTTAAACAAGAGGGTGTTTCAGACATCTACATTGCACACCTCCAAGACAGCTCTCTAAATTGCCCTTATACTCAGCAGAGAGAAAAAACACCCTGCGCTTTCAGACTACACTCATCTCATTCCAAAGTAGATTTGTTTCTCCCTATCAACTGCAGGAGTACCCTAGATAACTGAGAACTCTGTATTATAAGCACGTACAGTCAGGGGAGATGACTAGAACGCTGCTCTCATACACACGTTTTGTGTGAGATACTCTGGGGCCTTAACCTGAGTTGGGATCTGCAGGCATTACTGTAACCTAAATATTAGTCTCCAAAAACTTTGATGTATTCCTATGAAGCTTGATTTACTTCTGAATCGGAGAGTATAACCACAAATAACCTATTAGGCATCTAAAAAAGAAGAAATAAATCCCTTTCCCCCACCTTGAGAATAAAAATAGCTCCTCTTTTTAAAAGAAATGAATGCTTCAAACCCATACCAACTTGATGAGAATAAATATATTGTGCAAATAAAGCAGCGAGCCAAGAGAACAAACAAGGGCCGGCAGTCAGGGCACACAGATGAGAGAAAAAGCACAAAAAGGTCCTTGCTTTACCTCCTGCAGCTATGACGACCTCCGGAGTCACCAAGCAATTACCTATTTTGGTGTGCATATGCATGGCTGTTCTCTCTCCCACATTTGGGAGCTTGAACTTCTTCCTAGAAATACTGACATTCTGCAAACTCTGAGAACAAGACATCTATTTCTACTAGCTCTGGCAATATTCTGTCAAAAGTAGTCTTTCAAACATCAATCTCCATTTATTCTTTTAACTGGATAGAGCCCTCAAGTGGGAGTATGATCGGTCAACACAGTGATTGATTTTAGATTTCTTTCAAAAGATTCAGATTTAACAACATTCTGAACAGCTACCAGATACATGAAGAGCAACCAGATCCTTCACTGCACAGACCTTACAATTAATTTTCAGAATGTACTAGGAAATTTAATAAGTTTCAGGCTCCTCAACTGCTGACCTAGCTTTCAGGAA